TACTCACTGTTAAGTGAGTTATGTATCTGAACTTTTGTTGTATTTAAAATGAATTTATGTTTCTGAAGTATCAAATATACGACTGTCAGAGTTCTGTTTTAAAAAGTTGTACAAAACAATGGCAGAATGATCATTTTTTCAGAAACAACTGCACAATAGTTGTTTTCACACAGCTGTAACAAACAAGCAGCCAACTTCCCTGCAGCAGCTTCCTCGCAGCAGCATCGTAGTGAATCCCAGTTGTAGCTGAAAAGCTGAAAAGCTACAGCTGCCCCAAACCGACCCTGAATTTCAAATGAAAAATAATTTTACTCTTTCCGGACAAACAATTAAATTTTCAATATGCAAGAATTGAAATACAATACACAATAAATGTTGATATGATTTAGTTAATCGTGTAAATCCAAAATTATAAAATTAGGTAAGACTTAAATCCTAAAAATTATTTGGCAACAAATTTAATATATTCTGTTAAATCCTATCAAATCGTTCGACAAATTCTGTTAGAATTTAAAAAATTAATGTTTTTATAATAGAAAATATAATTAAATTGTGATTATATTTTTATTATTAAAATTAATTATTACATTTAATTAAATTAAATAATTTTTTTTAATTCTGCTAATTAATAATTAAACATTTACTTAATTAATCAATTATTAATAAAATTTTAGCACATTAATGTTTTATTAAGAAATAATTTATAATTAATTAATTTATTATTATTTTGTTATTAATTATATTAATCAAAGATTAATTTGATTTTTATTAGCAATTATAAATTTATAAATGTATTTTTATTAATAAATTAATTATTAAATAATTAAATTAATATTAATCTAATTATATTTAAGATGATAATATATTAATTATTAATTAATTAAATTAAGAAAACTAACTTCAATAAAAAACTTAAAAGCACAAATTATTAAAATTATCTCTCATTGGTTTTGCCCAAACACCCTTCCACTCAAAGAAATAATTTGATATACAGAGTCCGACGCAGCTCTGCATCTGAACTCCAATAACACAACATTATGTTTATTTTAGTGGACTCTCTTTTTGGATTTGTTACTCAAAATTAATTGTAAATTAATTGCTCTGAATTTATTCTCTAAATTTTCTACAGCTTTTCTTGCATGAATCCCGCTTTCTATGATTTGTCATAGAAGAGAAAATGAAATAGTTAATGAAATTCATTAATTATTTGATTATTTCCTAAATGGGTGTAATAACATGATGAAATTAATAAATAGGCATGCTACAACTCTCATTGTAATCTCTCTCCGGCGTTGGTTTTACAGGGAAATGAATCACATGTTATAGCTTCTTGTGTTAGTTCGATGCTCTGCCTAAGGGAAGAGAAATCACAAGATGCTGTCTTTTTTTTTTTTTTTCCTCCGTGCGGCTTGCAAGTATAAGAGAGGGAAGAGAGAGAGAGAGAGAGAGAGGAAGAGAGAGATCTTTTCATTTAACTGTCGAGGTGATCAACGGGTCGACGGGTGTAATCCTCAAGCGAATAAAAACTTCTGCAACTCTATGGACATAAGAAATTTGTTGAACCACATAAATTTGTGTATTCCACTGTATTTTCTGTTTTGCGATTTTTCTCGTTTCGTTTTTCAAATTATTGCAATCGTTTTTCACAACAATTGGTATCGAAGCCTTAGTTCATATCTAAGGAAGAACGATGCTCGGAGATGAGGTGATGACATCAGGGATCGAGAAGTTTAATGACATTTTGGTTGCTGGATGATGCAAATAGAGGATTACCTCTATTGAATGAAACTTCATCTTCCTTTACTGAGAAAGCAACCAGAGTAGATGGACGAGTCGGTATGGAATTTGTTGAATCGATAGGTTCTCGTGGTTATACGATTAATCTTGTCAATATCAGTTGCTCATAATGTCATCAAGAAGATGACTACTGCAGATCTTTTGGTGGCTTTATCAGGTATGTAGGAAAAGCTTTCGACGAATAACAATGTGCATTTGATTAAAAAGTTATTTAAGTTGAAGATGCATTTGAATGTGTCTGTCGTCAGCATCTAAATGATTTCAATATTATCAAAAATCAATTGTCGTCTGTGAAAATTGATTTTAACGATGAGATACGTGCGCTTATATTGTTGGTTGCATTGTCAAATAGTTGAGAAGCCGTGAGGATGTCATTTAACAATCTGCAAATAAATCTAAATTGAAATATGATGATAAATGTGATTTGATTTTTACTGAAGTGGTGGGCAGGACATATTATAGCAAGACCTCAGGTTCGAGTTCGGCATTGAATGTTGATTCCAGAGGGAGATCACGCGACATGAACTCAAACAGAGGAAGCTTGAAATCAAAGCCTGACCAGCATGCAACATGCTGGAATTATGCAAAACAGGCCACATAAAAAAGAACTGCTAGAATCCTAAGAAGAAGGAGAATGATAGCGCTAATGTTGTATATGATGAAGTACATGATGCACATTATGTGCTACTGCTGACAGTTCACAATTATGTTGATGACTGGATACTTGATTCAGGAGCTTCCTTCCATACATCTTCCCACCGAGAGTTAATGAGAAACTATGTTGTAGATGACTTTAGAAAGATATATTTGACCGATAGAAAAGCTCTGATCGTGGTGGAGATGAGAGACGTTGATATTGCTCTCCTTAACAAGAGCAAATAGACTTTCCAAAAGGCCAAACACATTCCTAAATTGAAGAAAAATCTTATTTTTTGTTGGATAGCTCAATGAGGTGGTTATTCGGTAGTGTTCTCAGATAGCACCTGGAAGGTTACCAAATGAGCATTAGTACTGGCTCGGGGTTCGAAAATTGATATAATATATATGACTACAAGTTTACTCAACACTGTTACCACTACAATTGCAGAGAGCACGATAGATTTGCGGCATTGCAGGCTTGGTCACATGAGTCAGAGCTATAAATAAATTTTGTAAGATGAAATTTCAAGTAAGCGAGAGCTGACCATGAAGAAGGAGATAGATTCCCTGCTAGGAAATCAGACTTGGGAGCTGACAAAACTTTCACTAGGGAAGAAGACATTACACAACAAGTGGATGTACCGGGTAAAGAATGAGCTTGATGATAGTAAGAAGTACATTGTTAGACTTGTTGAAAAAGCTTTCAATAGAGGTAAGATATTGTCCATGCAGTGAGAGTTGTAAGTAGAAACATGAGTAACCAAGGAGAGAGCTTGGAGGTACGAGGCTATGTTGACGCTGATATGTCGACTAAGGGTGTTACTCTTGAGAAACTGAAGTTGTGTGTAACTTCAGTTGATCTTCTAGCTTGAAGACAGGGGCTTTGAGTTGCAAAGGTTGAGGAAATCATGTTTGAAGAAAATAGTGATGCAGCCAGTGTACCAGTCTTCAAATGGGCGATTTGTTGTGAATATGAAAACCGGTCCACTGTTCAAATTGATAATTTCTCATGTTTGACAGCAAATTGGATTTGATACTCGAAATTAATTGCAAATTAGTTGCTCTTAATTCCTTCCCTATATTTTATATAGCTTTCCTTGCATGAATCCCACCATCTACGATCTGTTGCAAAAGAGAAAAGAAAATAACTAGTGAACCTCATTAGTTATTTTATTAATTTCGTAATGAGCCTAATTGCACGATGAAATTAATAAATAGACATGCTACAGCTCCCCTTGTAATTTCACTCGAGCGTTGGTTTTATGTTGGCTCAATGCTCTGCATAAGAGAAGAAAGAAATCGCAAGATGCTGCCTTTTTTGTTTCTTCCTCCGTGCGGCTTGTAGGTAGAGAAAGAAGGGAGAAGAGAGAGAGAGAGAGTGAAAAAGAGAGATCTTTTCTTGCAATCGCCGAAGTGATCGACGAGTATAATCCTCAAACTAATAAAATCCTCCAAAACTATGCAAACGTAGGCAATTCGCCGAACCACGTAAATCTATATGTTCCAATATATTTTCTATTTTACCATTTTTCTCAATCTGATTTTTCGTTTTATTGCTATCATTTTTTCACAACAAAATCCACGAGATCAAATTAAATCGATCGATTCAAAGGATTTAAATCCAATGAAAATAATCACGACTTTACTGGATTTGGTTATAAAATGTTATTATTTAAATCAAAGTAAATTGGGGAAGCACAATCGTGCCCTATAATTTTCAACACCCTCGTAGGAATTAGTCTCTTTCAACGGAATCCATTTTAGCCTAATGATTGAAAGGTCCAACTTCCATTAGGTTCCTCATTGATTACAATATCAGGCCATTAATATGAGACCTAACATGGTACGATTATGCGCCTAAATTAATAATTAAGGATATTCCCATGAACTTTCATTTAATTATGATTTATGTCGGGGGTTCGAATCCCAGTCCTTTCAGGAGGATTCGAATAGCACACGGACTGAAAGGGAGGTCCGCTCGCTCAGTGATCGAGCTAAGACCACCTGCTGCTAAAGCTCTAAAATTAAAAATAAACAAGAGGCATTTACATACACACCAGACAATTCTTTAAGCATTTACATATGTAACACCGAAAAATTCACATTTACATGCATACAACTGAAGATTTTAACATAACCCGAAAAATGACACTATCATTGTCTTTTAAAAAATTGAAATACACTTTTCATGCATCGGCATACGACACCGAGATATTATAAGGGTAAAGATCAAACTTCGGGTGTTGGATATGCAAATGCATAAGAATTGTGTGGTATGTATGTAAATTTCCCAAAAAAATTATTTCAGACACAAAAAAAAAGGGAGAAAATCGACCATTCACATATCCATATGACACATCCAAATGTATTGATTGGAATTATACATTAATGTGATAAAAAACAAAATTAAAAATTAAAAAAAAATAAAATAAAAAACAAATATGGATTTTTCAGTTCATATTGGAATAAAGTAATGTGGAAAATAAAAATTAAATAATGAAATCACCAAATGCTGAAATAAAGCAGTACCAGAAGGTTTATACATCATCTCCTGAAATGTAAATTCACAACAGTTGGCTGCATGTACGTCTGCTGAATGGAAATAGCAAGCGGTAGATGAGGATGAAATAAAAATGATGATATTCTCTTTGGCCTGCACCGCTAGCTTCTGAACCTGCACCAAAACACACAATTGAGTTTCATAAATTTGCTTCATAAGAATATATATATATATATATCATTCATCAACATGTATTATAAGGGAGCATTTACATATATACCACTCAATTCCTATGTATTTACGTATCCAACACCTAAGCTTTTTTTTTTAAATTTACAACACCCAAATCTTTCATATTATACATCAAAAATACAACTATTTTAGCTTTTAAAAAGTGAAAGACAACTTTTAATGCATAGGCAAGGATGTATATATGTAAAAATTGAAGTTTAGGTGTTAAGATATCCAAATACATAAAAATTGAGTGGTATGCATGTAAACCTTGTATTAAAAATTAATAACGAGATAATCATACAACACAATGTATTATATGCTAATGATGTTTAAGAATTCATGTTAGAAAATACTGGTAGGTATGGCATGGATCAATGTTGTAGGAACCACCAAAAATAAGATTTAAGATTTGTCTATTAATGGCCTCAACTAGAAATCGGATATATGGCACTTTCTTCCGGAATTCAATGAATATTTGAGATTCTCGGTTCAATTTTTTGAATTTTGATAAAACTTCATCCACACCGGTTATGTTCGATAATAATGTAGAAAAAAAAAATAATCTTTTTTCTGAAAAAACACAGATTGAGATGGGATTCGACGCCTCACATTTAAATACACTAGCCTAATATTTTCTAAGAAGTTTGATGAATGACAATTAAGGGACCCAACACTAGACCAATTGGAAAGATCAACAAAATTGATAAAATAATAGTTCATATTTTTTCATTTTATTTCATGTAGTTTACAAATAATTCTAATTTTGACATGATAATATGTCTTCGGAGAGAGTTTGTCAAATGTAAAATCTTTTTTGGAAGCTCTACAATTACCCCAAATTGGGACTCAATTGAATTCAAAGATTTGGCAATTTTCTCATGATCAGAGTGGTTTATAATAATTTTCAAACAGAGAGAAGAAAGTATTATTTATACCCCCACTAATGCATTGCAAAAAAAGCTTTGTTCTATTCTACAAACTGGTATGCACAATTTGTTTTTGTGCGCTAAAAAATAAATTAAATAAAACAAAAATATAAATAAATAAGGTGCACGCGAGCCACCCTCTTAGCCTATTCAAAAAAGCTAGTCATATTCCTCTTATACCAAAGAACAACCACTTTTATCCACGTACCGTGAACACTTGTACAATTAAAATAAAATGAACACAAATCATTGGCTAAAAATCCAAAAAAATTTAAGATCCACACTATTTTCCATCAAAGAAAATCAAATCATTTATTATCATAAACCTTCAATATAAACTATTATCTCTCCCTTTCAGAGCTAAAAAATTTGAAATCCCATAGACATTGTTCTAAAGAGAGAAACTTAACAATCCAAAGAGATGCCACCACCACTAACCTACTTAGAACCTCTCCATCAAGATTTCCATTAACCAAAAGTATTTGGTTTCAAGATGAGGTTTTTACTTCATCAAAAAGGAAACTTCAATTCATAACATCATTTTTTCTTTGTAACTAAATTCCTTTATAAGCAATGTGTGCTAGATGAATTTAGAATATTAGTGTGGCATATTAGTAGTTGTAACATTAATTTGTCAGTTCTCCAAGTAATGAACACAAAAAGGCATGAGATTTCTAAGCAATGTAAGGATAATCCATAACACGCACTTAATTTGCCAGTTCTCCAAGTATTGAACACAAAAAAAAAGGCATGATATTTCTAAGCAATGTACACACACACACCTCTTGTCACTTAAAAGTTCTTTAACTATGCATTATACGAATCAAGTAATTTTATCTTCTATCCATTCATCTCAACATTTTCATATATTTAAAGCACTCCACTACATAAAAAACTAAAAAAAAACCCTGAACACAAATTTTAGACTTCAAGATTTGATGTCACGCACAAAATTAAATTTTTTTTAGACTATATCAAATAATTGAACGATTTTTCTTAAATTTTCATATTAAAGAAGACAACCAAAAACTAATTTAATAAATAGAAAATTCATAGAAATAACAATATACGTTGAAATGATTTATGGGGAAATAAGGCTCCGTTTGGCGCCGCTTTCTCTACGCGGTGCGGCGGGAGGCTGCAGAAAAGACTGGCTTGGCTCGGCGTTTCAAATTCGTCGGCCGCAAATCTGAGCGAAACGCGGGCCACGGGATCGACTCTGCGGCCCCGCTTTGCTTCAGCGGCCCTGGCTTTGCTCCTTTGGCATTTTACCCAAGTGCCCTCCTATTCCGCCTTTCGTTCGCTTTGCTCTTTGTTTGCAGACAGGGAAGCGGCAGCAAACCATAGCAGACGAGGTGAGGCGATCGGGGATTGGACTCCACTCTGAAACCATAGCAGCCATGGCGAGAACCGCGAAGCCATGCTGCTTCTGTCAAATCGCTCACCCTTCGATTTCATCTCCCCTTCTCTACGCTATCTGAACTCAAATTACTCACCTTTTATTTGTTGTTCGTCTTTCTTCTTCTTCCCTTCTAATAAGATTCATCAACCTTCTGTGGCTGTGATTCAGGGCGATCAAATAATTACCTTCCCGGACATCAATCCATCAGCCTACAGGTGAGCAACCCCCTCGTTCCTTAGTTTTCTTCTTCTTAAACTATTTTTAAGTTAAATTAGATGCAAAAGCCTTTATGAATTGTTTTTGTTTAGTTCATTCATTCGATTCATATTCTTCGTACTGCTATTAATCTAATTACATTTTTTACTTTGATGATTATTTTCTCTAATGTTTTCTGTTCAATTGGTGATATTGGTAGGCATTATCTTGTTATACCTAAAGAGTACATTTTACTGTCCGCAATCTCTGCGGAAGGGCCAAAAATTATCAATTAGGTACTCTTCGCTCTGATTTATTATGTTAAGTTATTTGTATAGTAATTAATCATTATGTGACAATTTCATATGAATTGTGCATTGAGGTAATCTGACATGTTTGATATTTTCAGTTTGTCAAATGTTGATTGTTGGACGAAGACTTCTTCAAAATGATGCCCCTAAATCCAAGTTATACTGTTATTAAGCATGATTGTTCCTGCTTTTGTTGGCTGAATTATCCCTTTTTCGGTTTGAATTTTAAAGTTTAACTGGAACCTTAACCAGTAGGCTTAGGCTTTTGGTTTGTTTCTTAATTTTCGCATGGTATAAAACTTGAGGTCTCTACTTCAATTCCTTGGTGTTTTCTGTACATTATATACATATATATGTTAAAAGTATCTTTTTTTACATAATTCAAAGTTTATTAAATTCTGAGTAAATTTATGCCAATGCCAAAGTTAAATTAAAGTCAGTTACATATTACTTGTATCATTAAGTTGGCAACATATTAAACAAGTAAATTGCCAAAATTGTTCATAGTCAAGTGATTCCGGGTTAAATTTTTCTAAGGCAGATTAGATGCTAGAAAAGATACTACCCAAAGATTTATTATTACTATTTTTTTGAATGAGAACATTATGAGGTAATTTGAGATTTCTTATAGGAAAAAGTCTATATCATTAATCATGTCTCTCAATTATGAGAAAGATTTTTTTTTTAAATTTATTCTAGTCTATAGACTATGATGTTTTGTTGTTAGTTTAGTGCATATGGTATAAAAATGATCTATACAAATTTTACTTGCTTTTCTGTAAAAACTTTTTTTGTTAAATTGAAGTGTTTTTGTCTTATGTAATTTTCTTGTTATTTTCATTTTGTAGTTCTATACAAATTTTACCTGCTTTTCTGTATTTTTATTTTCTTTGTTAAAAAATCCCTGTTGTTGACTAGCGTGCATCAATGCTTCAATTATGGGTTTATTTGTTTGTTAGCTAAATTTGGTTTGTTTTTCATTTGAAATGCCCCATTTTTATGTTTAGTTCATATCATTATCAGTTTTCTAACCAGTGCAAGTGTAAGTGCAAGTGAGATGATTGAAGTTGGACTGGAACTCCAATTGGATGTTTAGTTAATTTTAATTTGTTATGAAAGCATACATACAAAATAATTTTAGTATGCATACAACCATTATTTTCTCAAAATGATGCACAAAATAATGTTTGCTTCTGATTGAATAGGAACATTATTATATTGCATTTATGCTCTTTTGTTTCCTGATTGTTTTGCTTTCTGTTCTTCCTTTTTTATTTGACTAAAAAAGGGGAATTCTGTTTTGCTTTTGCAGGTTCTTTTTTGGTTTTCATGTTTTAAAATTCTTTGGTTTCAATTTCCTTGATCTGAAGCCAATGATTAAGTTCATTAATGACAAGCATGTCTGAAAATTCTTGTGGAAGAAATCTAATCTTCTCTATGAGGCTTCATGAAATTTAGCTTCAGAAGTATAAAATATATCACTCTCACAGTTCTGTTTTAAACAATTTTACCAAGCAGGGGCAGCATGGTCATTTTGCCAGAAACAGCTGCTCTAAAGCTGTTTTCACACAGCTGCACCAAACAGACAACCAATTTTTTTGCAGCAGCTTCCTGGGGCAGCGCAGCTGTAGCTGTGCCAAACAGAACCTAAATTCAAAGTTGGGAACAACACTCTAAAATAGCAGAGGTAAAAAAAATTTGAAGTATAAATACTGACTAATATATCCTAGACTACATAATCATAGATCAGTTCGCTTTCCTATTAAAAGTTATTCTTCTACTTTTGACGAAAAGAGATTAATTCAATTAAAGTTCATCATGAATGATAAAAATCATGAAATTAATGATAAGTTAAATCATATAGAAGAATTTTTAACCATAATATTTAAATTATTAAAACAATTTTGCCATACTAATAATAAAATTAAACCCCAACACATGATTTTGAGGATGAAAGCCATCATATAGATCTGTTTGGCTTCACTCCTAGCCCATTTATCTTAGATACCTATCCCACTGACCCTGGATCCCCATCAAACTTTAAATTCTATATTAATGAGCCGTTTGCTACACCTGCTTTCATTGAGAAACACGTACTTGTACACT